GCGCGGGGGGGGGGGGGCTTACAGAAACCTGCAGCATCAGCTGGCTCCATGGGAGGCAGGGCTGCCAGAAACTGGCTTTTAAGCTGGCTCCCAGCAAGAAGCAGCTACCACCTACCGCCACTCCCAGGGAGTCAGCTGCTGCCCCTTGTTGCTGCTTCTATATCAGAGGCCGCAGCCCACTCCCCAGGAGCTGGTATATGCTGGGAATCAGCTTTTAGGGTGGCTCTTGCCATGCACCGGCTCCCATTTTGCAGAGGGGGAGGGAGCTGGCTGGGGCGGGAGCCCGCAGGTAACCATGAGCGTTAAGGGAAAAGCCTCGGCTTACGGGTTAACCATGTTCAGGGTTTTACTTTGGCAGCCCTAGAACCGATCGGCAGGGAAAGGCCGCGGCCGGGAGGGCGCAGCAGCAGGTAGAAAATCCAGCGCTGTGCAGCGTGACGCCGAGCCCGTACGACTGGAGAAGCGGCGGCGCGCACAGAGCTCGCGGACCTTTCCCTCACCCAGGACAGCGACCGGGAAAACGGGGCCACCCTGGAGGGCCCGGGCAGGCCGCTGACTCTGAGGGGCCAGTGTAGCCGGGTGCCTGGAGGCCGCCGCCGCCCCCCCCAATCACCGTCGGCGGCAGCCGCCTCCCACACGCGGCCCCTCAGGGAGGCTGCGCGGCGGGGAAAGCAGCGGCTAAGCGCGCGCGCCGCTCGAGGGCGCCTAGGAACTCCCCCCCCATCGCCTCAACGGCTCCCAACTGCGCCCTGGCCCAGCCGCCGCGTCACCCATCCGGGTTCCTTCCGCCGGAAGCGGACCCCGGCGTCACACCCAATGGGGTCCGGCGCGTTTAGCCCCAGAGAGCAGTGGCTCCGGGATTGCCCGTCTCGCTGACCGGGCGCCGGGGGGGAGCCGCCCTGGCGGGACCCGTCCTCCGCGGGGGCGGCTGCTGGAGCAGAAAAAGCGGCTTTCAGGCCAGAGGCAGGGCTAGAGTCGGAGCCGCCGCCGGAGCGAGGTGAGGCACCCGCCGTGTGGGGCTGGGGGGCTCAGCGCTGAGTCTCTCCCGGGGACTCGGTACCGCCGGGGCCTCCCCTGCCCGGGCTGGTGCCGCAGCGCGACGTGGGGCCATGCTCCCCTCCTCGCCGGTCTGTGCGGCCTCTCCCGCTCCCCGCGCTGCGGGACTGGCGGGTCCGTCCTCCCTCGGCAGGGCGCGTTTCCTTTCCGGGACCCCGACCCTGCTCCTCCCGCCCACCAGGGGGTGGTGACCTGGGGTTCCTCCCACTTCTTCGGGCGTGTGAAGGAGCCCAGTGTGCCCCGTGCCCTGGCGCTGCGGGCTGGGCCTTGGAGCCTCACCGAAACCAACCGGTGAAATGCACCCAGGAGCGCTGCGCTTTTGGGTTAAAAAAACAAACTTGATGATAAAAACATTATGCTCGCAAACACAACGACCGCCGGCATCATACACGCCTGTATAGGAAACGACCAGTGTCAGTTATCTTAGCAAACCCACTAGCCTGATGGTTCTCAAACTTGTTGTCTACGGCCTGCCATGCTCAATGTAGACCTTTCCATGGCTTGCCAGCCAGCCACCCATAATGACAAAATGGGAGCAGGAAGGGGTGGGGGAAGGGAGGGAAGAAGGTAGGGTGTAGGAGTAGGCTCGGGGTGCAGGCTTTGGGTGGGAGAGAGGTGCATGAAAGTAATGGAAGTGCAGAATCTGGGCATAAGGGTGATGGGGGTGCTTACCTGGCTTCGAGCCTCCTGCCGCTCCCAGGCATGCCCCCTGTTCCTCCCATAGGCCGTGATTCTGGTCTGTGGGAGCAGTGCGGAAAGTGTTTCCTCCCCACCCCAGCTGAGTGAGTGGGAGGGGAATGGATGTGCAGGGAACTGCTTCCTTCCCTGCAAGCCAGATCCAGCCTGTGAGGCTTCCCTCTGTACACTCCCCCAGTGGGAAGCCAGCACTGGTGCTTCAACTTTGTGAGGGGAGGGATGTGGGGCTGGAGTGCCAGCACAGACTCTCCGCAGGTGGGGATGAGCCCTGAGCCCATGGCCCACCTGCAAGATAATCGGACCATGGTTTACGAACCACCTGCACTAACAAATAATGCCAGCACAGTCTGTTCAGATTCAAAATCTGGATGTTACTCAGAGCTGTGTTTCAGCATTGAATTATCAAAAATATTTCTGTTCACAAACCTAACCGAATATAAAACATCACATGAAAACTGGGTTAGGTGTCCTGTATATAGAAATATTGGTCAGAGACCTTCATGAGACACTTTGTAGAATATTTTTATTGGAAGAGTAAAATTATTTAAAGTTTCATTGCCTTACATTCTACAGGGCATAAGATCATTTCTCTGGATCCCTATTTTATTATAGAGTAGAAATCTTTGCAGGAAATTACATTAGACTTATTCTTTCTCCCCATATACTATAATTTTTGGATGTTTCTCCATCAAAAGAAAATTCTGTGATGCATTTGACTCTATACAGCAGTGATCTCCAACCATTTGTAAAGCTAGGATCACTTTTTTAGTTGTGAGGTTAAACCCAGGATCTACCTTGTCCCTTCCCTCAGGACCCGACCCATCCCATCCCATCGGCTCTGCCCACTCCATTAAACTTTTTCTCTCCAGCACTTGCTCTCCCTACCCTCATTCACTTTTACTAGGCTGGGACAGGCTCTGGACCAGGACTAGGGATGTTAAAGACTATGCTTATAGGTTAGTCTTTTGACTAGTCGATTCTCACCCTCCCTCCCCCGCCTCTATGAGATAGAGGCAGCAAAAGGGGAGGAAGGGTATTTCAAAGCGGCAGCGCTGTACCCAAGGCTGTGTTTCAAAGGGGCAGCTGCTGTGGTGGGCTCTGTGCAGCACTTCCAGTGAGGTTGTACATTTCAAAGAAGAAATGCCGAGTGCCTATTGACTTATTGGAAGTTCCGTCAACTAGTCAATTAACCGCATTTTAACATCCTTAACCAGGACTTAGGGATTTGGGTGAGAAGTGCAAGCTTTGGGAGGGAATTTGAGTCAGAGTATTGGAGTGTAGAAGGTAGGACTGTAAATGGTTAACCGGTAAGGACTGAAGTATCTTCCTCACAGGGCTGGCCTGTTGGAGCAGCTTCTGTCCATGTGGACCCAGCCTACTTTCCCCTTTTCCCTCCCTCCTTCCCTGCCACAGCTTACATGCTGGCTCCCAGGATCAGGACTGGCATTCTGGAGAGCCAGCTATGCTGCAGGCTCTCCAGTACTGCAGAGTCTGCAGTGAAGCCTTCCTGGGAGCAGGGCCATCAGCCCCCGCCATCCCACTCCCAAGGAGCTTGTATCGCTGCATACTGCAGAGGCGGCAGTGAAGCCTCTCTGGGAGCCAGTTTCACTTCAGGTTCTGTAGTATAAAGAATACTTCCGAGCTCATAGCACGATGGGGACTGCAAAGAGTGGGAGGAAGCAGGAAATGGGTGGCAAAGGGCAGGGGTAGGGACAGCAGCAGTAGGAAGAATGAAAATTAGAGGGCTTCCAAGAGAGGGGGGAAGGAGAGGAGTAGCAAAAACTGAGGCAAGAGTGGATGAGAGGAAACAGGAGACCTAAGAGCTGATAGCATGAGAATAGGGCAGCGGTAACCTGAAGGTAATGGGGCAGGAGAGAAAGGCACTTACAAATAACAAATTTGTCTATGAGATCGGTTCTCTTCAATATCTTCATCAGTGATTTAAATGATGGCACAGAGAATACGATTATTAAGTTTGCAGATGATACCAAGCTGGGAGGAGTTGTAAGTGCTTTGAAGGCTAAGGTGACCATAACTCAAAATGATCTGGACAAACTGGAGAAATTGTTGGAGGTAAATAGGATGAAGTTTAATAAGGACAAATGCAAAGTACACCACTTAAGAAGGAACAAAGGCTGTGTCTAGACTGGCCAGTTTTTCCGGAAAGCGGACTTACCAGCTGTCTACACTGGTCGCTTGAATTTCCGTAAAAGCACTGACGATCTCATGTAAGATTGTCAGTGCTGTTGCAGAAATACTATGCTGCTCCCGTTCGGGAAAAAGTCTTTTTCCAAAAAACTTTTGTGCAAAAGGGCCAGTGTAGACAGCAAAGATTTGTTTTCCGCAAAAAAGCCCCGATCGCGAAAATGACGATAGGGGCTTCTTTGCGGAAAAGCGCGTCTAGATTGGCCACGGACAGTTTTCCGCAAAAAAAGCTTTTGCGAAAAAGCACCCTGCCAATCTAGATGCGCTTTTCCGAAAATGCTTTTAATGGAAAACTTTTCCGTTAAAAGCATTTCCGGAAAATCATGCCAGTCTAGATGTAGCCTATGGGTGTGTTGGGGCTAGAGCACCTATTGGGGGAAAATATAATGGGTGATCAGCATCCACCCACACCCAAACTCCACCTTTCCCCAATGACAAGCTAAATGAGAGTCAACAGTGTGACACTTGTAGAAAAAGCAAATATGATTCTGGGATGCATTAACAGGAGTGTTGTTAGCAAGACACAAGAAGTGATTCTTCCACTCTACTCTGCATTGATTAGGGCTCATTTGGAGTATTGTGTCCAGTTCTGGGCCCTACGTTTCAAGAAATATGTGGAAAAATTAGAGAAGGTCCAGAGAAAAGCAACAAAAATGATTAAAGGCCTAGAAAACATGAGCTATGAGGGAAAACTGAAAGAATTGGGCTTGTTTAGTTTGGAAAAGAGAAGATTGAGGGGGGACATGATAGCAATTTTCAAGTTTCTGAAAGGTTTTACAAGGAGGAGGGAGAAAATTTGTTCTCCTTGGCTTCTGATAAGACAAGAAACAGTGGGCTTAGGTTGCACGTTAGGAAAAACTTCCTGTCAGGGTGGTTAAACACTGGAATAAATTGCATCGGGATGTTGTAGAATCTCCATCACTGGAGATATTTAAGAGCAGTGTGGATAGACATGTATCAGGGATAATCTAGATGATACTTGGTCCTGCTGGGGGGGCAGGGGACTGGACTCTATTACCTTTCAAGGTCCCTTTCAATTCTAGTATTCTATGATTCTACATTGGGATTGAACTATTACCCCCATATATCTGTGAGGGGAGAGAGGAGATGAGTGCATTATAGGACGGTGATGACATGTACCCATAACCATCTTCTGCACAGTTTTGGTCTGAGCATACACGGACCATAACTGAGAATGTAAAGAGTCACAGGTACAATGGAATAGCTACCCACTGTGTATCGCTCTCAAAGTTGATGATATTCACTCTACTGGGGACGTGCTACTTCCAACTACATCGAATGCTTGCACACAGTGGGGACATGCACATTTGAACTTTACAAAATCAGGTGCTAAAAATCAACCTTAATAAATGTGACCTTCTGTCTGTGTGTACATGGCCTAAAATATGCTGGTAAAAATGCTGGTTGTGATGGTCCCACAAACTGCTCACCACAGTACAAACACATGCACATAGTTGTCCACATAATAACCATCCCAATCCCCCACACTCCTTGCTGAGCACCCTAGGAAGTGACCAGGGAGCTGTGGTGGGTTCCCTGGGGAGCCTGCAAGTATGGGGGGAAGGGGCAAGGGAGGGAGTCGCTATCTCTTTTGGTTGGCTGTGGAAAGGAAGTGCCCTGACCCATTGGGCATTGCTGGAACTTGTTCTACTCTGCAGACACATCTGGTGAACAGTTTTCTGCTGATTCATGTTCAGTATCGGAGGAGGAGCAATTCAAAGTAGTGAGCCCAGCCCACGCCCCTCTCAACATCTCCCTGCCCCTTTAAGTACCTTTCAATGTAAAAACAACCCCCTTCTCTCCAAAGGGGAAGCAGAGACAAGCCCTTAGAACAGGGGTCTGCAACCTATGGCTCTAGAGCCAAATATGGCTCAGTACAGAACTAAATATGGCTCTCTTGTCATTCTCAAAATACACACAACTTTTTAAATTAAATTGAAAAATTAATTCAAAATTAAAAAAAATTGCATACTTATGTCAGATTTTTTTTTGTCTATTTCACCTTTAACTGTTCATTTT